AGATCCCATATACAGGGTGAGATGAAAAAAATGCAACCAACTTCAGAATGTTGTCATTACTAAGCCACTCGTCCGACAGCTTTTAAAATTATATTGTTTACAAGCGTACAAAAGCATTTTGTCGAAATTTTTCCGGAAAAAAATTATTCGTGATATAATTCAAGCGTGATAGTGTGATTTCTTTATATTTGGCCGGAAAACCACAAGTGGCTATCGTTAGAACACTCCAGCATTTAAGTGCGAATAAATCTTTTGGGTCTCGTACCATCGCTCGTTACCATGATACTGGTAGCGTAGCATAGTAGCCCGACGTCAAGGAAGTTGACGGAAGAAAACAGCAACATCAGCCTTGGCCACGACAACATTTTTACCGCAGACCTCGGACATTCCGACAGGACTCAGCACCATCGCACTTAGCAGGCGCCATCCAAGAATGGTTACAAAATTAGGTCCCTCGCTTCATTTCCAGCGCACAATGACCACCAAAATCTCCGGATACCAATCCGTTGGACTCTTGTGTCTTGAGTATTTTGGAAAGCAAGGTCGGCACTATAAAATTCCAAAGTACCGATCACCTCAAGCAAGCGCTTCGTCGGGAATGGGCCAAAATAACGCAGAGTAATATTCAGACAGCCTGTGACGGTTTCATTGGCCGTTTGAAGGTCATAATTCGTGCCAAAGGTGACCAATTCAAACAAATCTAAACTTTTTCTAAAATTTGATGCTATTTCCGACATTTTTTTCTTTCATTCAATAAAATTTAAACAAAATGTAAAAATTTTGCCATTTGACTTTGTTGCAGTTTTTTTATCTCACCCTGTATGTATAGGTGCATATTTTTGTGTAGGCCCCATATAACGGTACCTGCCGATATTCGGAATTTTGATTATTTTTGCCACATTTTTCCACGGATTTGTATAAAAATGTGTATTTGTTGTTGGTCATAATAGGTTCTAGTTCCGGTGGAGAAACTTGTATGTATAGGACCACGCTTTGGTATAGCCGCCATTAATGGTACCTCCCGATATTCGGTATTTTCATGATTTTTGCCACATTTTTGCACGGATTTGTCTACAAATTGGTATCTGTAGGCCAAAATGGGTTCTAGCTCCGATGCGGAACATAGTATGTATAGATCTACATTTTCGTACAGCCCTCATATAACGGTATCTCCCAATTTTCAATATTTTGATGATTTTCTCCAAATTTTTTTTTACGGATTTGTCTAAAAATTGGTATATGTAGTTCGTAATGAGTTCTAGCTCCGGCGGCAAAACATCGAAAATTTAGATCCACGTTTTCCTATAGCGCACATGTAACGATACCCACCGATATTCGGTATTTTCGATAATCCTAGTCACGTTGAGCCACGAAATTGTTTCAAATTTGGTGTTTTAGAAGATTTGGTAGATGACAATCCTTCAAGTAGAGGTTTTTGGTATGGCCCCATACAACGGCCTCATCCACTTTTTAATTTTTTGAAAAGTTTAATAGCATTATCCATCTTTACCGAAAGGTGGAGGGTATTAAAAGTTCGGGCTGGCCGAACTTAATGTTTTTTTTTTTAATTGTATGAATGTTATCTAGCCTTTAAGCATTCTTTTAAAAAGCTACTTTATTTCCGAACGTTGCTATAAATGTCCCCAAGAAAGTTTCCCTTGGCAGCTTGTCTACTCTTCTTCTATGGGAATAAATACAAATGTGTATGTGTGTGTGTGCGCGCGCTCATATGTTGTAATTGTATAAGTCTGGGCGTGTGAATTTCACCTGCGTTAAATAAAAATAACTTCTTTTTAAATTTCTTTCACTTCCAACCCACATTCATTCATTTATTCACTTATTCTCATGGCATTTACATTTTTACATTATTTTGTGTCTAGCTCTGATGTCAACTTCAATCTGTTGTTGTAGTTCTAGATGTTGTTGTTTGGAAATGTTTATTCCCAAATGTGTTCAGCAGTCATGTATCCTTTTATGTTCGAAAAAAAAGTCTGGCATTGGATGCCGTCGGCTCTCAACAAGCTTTCTTTTGTGATTTGTTTATTTCTTTCAAGAAATTTACGGTGTATTGCTCCAAAGGTGAGAATATTTGAGAGGGAGAGAGGAGGCTGGAGATGATGATGAAACATTACAAGATTTATGGCATAACCAGGGAAAAACAGCCTATCAAGAAAAACCCTAGCCGACAAAAGAAATAAAAAACACACCATCTTCCTAGAACGGCAAATCTTCTCTAGGTTTTCGGGGGGAATATTTGCAATTCAAACAAGAATGACAGCAACAACAAATACAACAACGACAATCTGATATTATATAAGGAAATTTCATTATGTTAATTTCAATATTGTATTAAAAATGAATAATTTAAAAGTTGATTAAGAATTAAATATTTCATGTAAACCATCGTTCACCCCTCCCCGGACTTGTTAGCAGGGATTTCTTAGCATTATCCTTTACACAGGAAATAAAATAAAATCCCCCCATTTGCCTTCCCCTGATTGTTGATATTTAAGAGAGTTGGCAGAGAACAATTATTTTTTAAATGATGATAGAAAATAAAACAAACTCCTGCTATTTGCATAAGGACAAAATTTCATTTTTAAGCCTATAAACATTATGCAAATATTTGTTTTCCCCCTGAAAACGAAAAAAGAGTACCAAATAACAATATTCAAAATCTGTTTAAACTTTCCAGAATATTACATTTTATATTCAAAACAAATAGAAAACAAATGAGACTAATTAAGATTTAGGTTAAATGTTTGGAAGTGGGTCTTTTGTAAAAAAAAAGAATTACCAAAGGAAAGATAAACATGTTAAGCAGTTGGAACAGTTTACCGAACTTCTTAAAACCCACTTTAAAGAATAATAATAAACCTCCCAATACTATATAATAGCAAAACCAGTGTGAACATTTTAATCGGTACGAGGATTAAATAAAGTATTATTAAAGCATACTTTAAGGATGACATTTGTATATCCAAAAGCAACAGGGTGTTCATATTTCAATTATTGATTATAAACTAGCAGCATGTTTACATACAATAAATCCGGTGGATTTCAAAGGTCAATTTTAATGCTCATAACTCAAATCTTAAATTCAATGGCTTTCATTTGACACAAACTCAGTGTAATTGAGATTTGACATCTACTGGATTTATTAAAATCAGACTGGATTTATTAAATCAGAGTTGTATTTCATTGTCACATTGGTACTGCCAGGTATTTTTATACGCCCAACCATATGGCTAGAGAAGGTACATATGATTTGATAAGGCCAAAAAGTGCCTCATCAAAATACGGTTTCAGACCCTAGTTCTCTTTGGGCCACATTCATTTCAGGACATTTGGAGTCGATCTAGCTATGTCCGTCCGTCTGACTGGCTGGCTGGTGCGGACTATAAATCTCGAAGAGAGTATCCGATTTGGTCCAAACTGGGTACATCGTAATATTTTTGTAAAACTTAGATCGAGCTCGGAGATGGCCAATATAGGTTCACTCCTTTGGGTATCCCCCCAAAAAAGGGTCAAAATTTTGAACAACCATGAAGCTCATAAAACACGAAGTTAACATCCGATTCCATTCAGACTTGACATATCACAATATTTCCATCAACACAAGATCTGTCATAAGGATAGGAGTGATCGGACCATTCCTTCTGGCACCTCCCCCACAAAGGGTCAAAGATTTGAATGACCAAAACGATTATAAAATTCAAAATAAGGATCCGGTACCTGTATCCGGTACCATTATTTCTCCTAACACAAAATCTGCTGTGAAGATGGAACATATCGGTTCACTTCTTCTCGTAGCTCCCCCACAAAAAAGTCAATATGTTGAATATCCACAAATTTCTTAAAACGCGAAATTAACATTCAATCTTGAAATATCTCAATATTTCCATCAACTCAAAATCTGTCATAAAGATCGAACCATTCCTTCTGGTACCTTCCCCACAAAGGATCAAAGTTTTGAATAACCAGTACGAAATAAGCATCCGGTACCATTATTTATCCTAACACAAGATCAGCTTTGAAGTTGGGATATATTGGTTCTTCTAATACCTCTCCTACAAGTGGTCAAAATTTTAATATTCATGAACCCAAAATTAACATCCGATTCCATTCAGACTTCGTACATCTCAATATTTCCATCAACACAAGATCTGTTATAAAGATGGTAGAGATCGGACCATTTCTTCTGGTATCTCCCTCAGATAACTTTCAAGATTTTGAAAAACAAAACACTGAAAGAAAACGAAATAAGCATTCAAAACACTTCAAATTTAGCACATACAAACATTTTAGCTAACACAAGATCTCTTGTGAAGATGATATATCTGCGAACTCCTTCTGGTACCGAAACAAAGGGTCAGAATTTTCAATAGTTTTATCTACCATAACTTGCGAAACAAGTCAGCGTTTTTTTATAACTTGCTATATCTAAATATTTCTCTCAACCAGAAACCTGAGATGAATAGCATAATTTCGTGTTGTATAATTACCGACGATATTTTGTTGGACCATTTAAAAACTTTCGGAGATTAACAAAACTTATAAATATCTTCATGAAATAGGATTTTTTTTATATATTGTACATTACCTAAAGAGCTTCCTTTAAAAATTTTATATAAATTAGATCGTTTGTCATATATTGAATAAAAAGTATATCTTTCCGCTTTTGGGCCGCAATTACATCTGGCCTTCATAAAGTGTTAATTGAACTAATCGTGATAAATCCCTCAACCGTGTAAACGCAAAGACGACATGTGATTTACTTTACATGAGTCAAAAACCCGTTTTTGCAGCATACTTTCAGGATGAACATTGTTGGGTCTACTAAAACAGGGCGTTCATACTAAAATATATTATATGCCATTTATTTGCATGAACACGAACGACTACAAAATAAGTCCAAATGCAATTTTGTTATTATTTGAATACAATTTTTTAGTTATTGAAATATTATATTAAAATGTTTTTTTTTTCTTTTTTTTCAGTTTGGTTAATCAATCTATGCCCAATGCTGGTCTGGTGCGTATGACACTGCGCAAAGCTTTAAATGTCTGGCAGAATAGCTCAAAATTAACATTCCGTGAAGTCTACGATCCGCAAGCGGATATACAGGTTCTATTTGCCAAGTAAGTAAAAAACACAAATAACAAGAGAAATATATGACTGACGGTTATTACATATTTCCGATAGATAAAAATTATTATTAAAAAAATAATAATTATTATTATTAATTCATTTACATATGAACTGCCCGATGAGCAAAAGTCAAACCATCTTCTTTTCATCTTTTAACGTAAAGCTTGCTGAACTCATGTTGGCATATTTTATACTGATAATATGGCAATAAAATGGCAATGGACTGGTTTCCATTTTGTTATAAATTTACAAATTTATTTCACAAAAAATTAATTAAAAATTTGTTATGTTTGTTTCTTTTTTTGGCTAATATGAGGATGCCACTGTGAAAAAAGGCAGTGAAGAAGTGATCATTTTATTGTCATATCTCTGAACAAAGTGCATTTATTTAAAGGAAAGATGTAGTAATGAAAACTTTAGTAATGAAAGTAATGTGAACTTTACCCTTTACTTTTCCTAAATTAAGAGATAGCAAATCAGTAGCGGAATTCTCTAACACATTTTTTGAGTTACCGACAATAGGCGTTAAAATTATGATCTACCGTTAAATACCAATTTTGTCAGCTTTAACTTATTTTTTATATCAAAATTTTGGTTTTCAAAGTTAATGATTTTTGTCTGTTACTCAAAAAATGAGTTTGGGAATCCTACTGCTGAACTATAAATAAATTATATGAGAATGGGCCTATATATATTTTATTTATTTATTTCTGTATTTATTTACGTTTTATTAAGGTTTGCTCTACTATCTTTCGAAATCAATTATTATCGATCTCTGCTGACGTTATCAATACCTTTTCATTTTATCAATTTTTTAGGCGAGATCACGGCGATGGTTATAAATTTGATGGTCCTGGATATGTCTTGGCTCATGCCTTCTATCCCGGCGTTGGTCGAGGAGGAGATGCCCATTTTGATGATGATGAAAATTGGGCCTATGATCCTGAACCGGGTGCTGATAACGATTCAAGTGGTAAGTTTATGTAAAGGAAGTATTTATACGTTGAATTTATTTCAATATCATGAAAGTAAGGTATCACATAACCCACGAACCTAAATAAATATGATAAAAAAAATTGTGACGTGCCAGGTGTGGATTATATTGATTACTTCCTTCACTTTGTATGAAATATGTAATAATTTATAGAAAATATAGTGGACCGAGGTGTTTAATTTTCACACTTTATCTATAAAATATTGGTATGGAAAAATTACAAAAATATCAAACATTTTGATCCAACATTATATTCGAAATTATAAATTTCATATTCATATTTCTGATTGATAAAAGTATTTCCGTACAGCAAGTTGTAAAGAATCGTTGACTTGTTTCGCAAGTTATAACAGAAACAATTAAAAAAGCTGGTCGAGCCAAACTTTGAATACCCTTTACCATTTGGAACGAATTTGGCAATTCTCAAAGACAATAAAACCCGTTAAAAATTCTGTTAAAATCTCAAAAATACCGAATGTAGCTGTTATTTTAGGGTCTATACGACGGCATGGACCTGCATACGTAACTTTTGTCATAAGCCATCTCAATATTCAAATGCGAAACTTAAAAAAAAAATCGGTGAATAATGTAGCTAAATTCATCAAAATACCGAATATCGGGAGGTACCGTTATATGGGGGCTTTACGAAGACGTGGACCTGCACAGACAATTTTCTGTCGTAGGCTGTACTATCCATTGCGAACTTCAAATACCAAATTGGAAACGATTCCAATTAATAATGTCGCTAAAATCATCAAAATACCGAATATCGGGAGGTACCGTTATATGGGATCTATAGCAAAACGAGGACCTACATGGTCCATTTTCAATACCAAAAGTCCTGCAAACATAATATACATTTGAGTAAAATTTTATCAATCTAATTCAATTCGTTCGGAAGCTAGAGTGATTTCCAGAGACGGACGGACATCGCTAAATCGACATAGAATTTAATGCTGATCAAGAATATATATACTTTGTGGGGTCTAAAATGTATATTTCGAGGCGTTACAAACGGAATGACAAACTAGATATACCCTCCATACTATGGTGGAGGGTATAAAAAGTATTGAAAATTGTGACGCTTTGGATTTGCGACCGGAAGAGGTTCGCAGATAGGTATCATCTTCACAACAGATATTGTGTTAGCAAAAAAGGTTGTATGTGTGAAATTTGAAGAGAATTTGGATGCTTATTTCGCTTTCTTTAAGCGTGTTGTTTTTCAAAATCATGAAACCTTTGTGGGGGAGGTACCAGTAGGAATGGTCCGATCTCTACCATCTTTCTAATAGAACTTGTGTTTATGGAAATTTTGAGATGTACCAAGTCTGAATGAAATTGGATGTTAATTTCGCGTTATATGACCCTCATGGACATTCAAAATTTTGACCTTTGTGGGGCAGATACCGATATATCCCATCTTCACAGCCAATCTTATGTTAGTATAAATAATGGGATGTCTCAAATATGAAGAGAACCTGATGCTTTTTTCAATTTTTGTAATCGTTTTGATTATCCAAAATATTGACCCTTTGTGGCGGAGGTACCAGAAGGAATAGTCCGATCCCTACCATCTTTATAACAGATCTTGGGTTGATAGAAATATTGAGATGTGCTAAGTCAAAATGGAATCGGATGTTAATTTCGCGTTTTATGAGCTTTATGGATATTCAAAATTTTGACCCTTTGTGGGGGAGGTACCAGAGGGGGTGGACCGATATATTTCATCCTCACGCCATACCTTACGCTAATAAAAATGTTATGTGTGTAGTTTGAAAACAACGGGATGCTTATTTGGGATTTAAAATCGTTTTGGTTTTCCAAAACTCTGACCCTTTGTGGGGGGGGGGGGGTACAAGAAGGAATGCTCCGATCTCTAACATTATTATAACAAATCTTGTGTTAACAGAAATAATGAGATGTGCCAGGTCTGAAAGGAATCGGATGTTGATTTTGCGTTTTACAAGCTTAAAATGAAGTGATGAGGGTTATTTGAAGGCAGTCGGACACTTATATCATATTTTATAAGAGTTATTATTATCCAAATTGTGAGGGAGGTACTGGATGGAGTTAACCGAGATTGTCCATTTTCGCACCTGACCTAGCACTGATAAAGATAATACGTTTAGAAAAGTTGGAGCGAAATCGAATTATCCATTCTATCTCTGTCGGACTCTAAGTTTGGATCAAATCGAATACCGCCATCTACAGTTCTCGAACAGCCAACCTGAGAGACGGTGGTACGGACAGACATTGCTAGATCGACTCCAAATATCCTGAAACAGATTTGGTCCGAAGAGATCTTGGGTCTAAAACCGATATTTCGATGAGTCACGTTTTGGCCGTATCAAATTTAGCCATATGTCTGAGGGTATAAAAACTCGAGTGGATACTTTTGACTGTCATTCCCTGTACGTAGATTGCTTTTAGACGGAATGTATGGTACAGATTAAAGATCTGTAAGCTTTCTATATGAAATGACTTCGTTAACCTTGCCTTGGTGTCATATTAACCTTATATTTTATACTAGTCCTTTACCTACATAAAAACGGAAAAAAGAAAATTATATCTCTTTTTCATTTAGCCAAGAAAAGATTTTTGATTGATGGCAATTTAAAGCATCATATCATTTCCAGTTTGTTTTTTTGTTTTGCTTTCTCTCCTTCATTCTTTGCCGAGCATTTCTGCATTTCATTTTCCACCATTACTATTTGCCACATTCAGTCAATGTCATTTCGTACGATTTTCCTTGCCCTGCACCTCCACCTTGCCCCCACTTTGATTAATACTTTGAATTGAATCTTTCTTCGGATTTTTTTTTTTTATTCATTCATTCTTCAGCCTTCTACTCAGTTTTGTTTTGATGCCATTGGGCCAGAAGATTGTTGAATATTTCTTTCTCTCCCCGTTTTGTATTGATTTCAATTTGTCTTTGTTTGTTGACCATTTATGGGGGTTTTTTAGACGCCCGTTAACAATTGTGTGTTTTTTCTTCTTTTTGCTTTGTCTTTGGCCTCCAGGCATTTTCCATTATCCGTTTTGTGTCATTTTATCTTTGGTTTCGTTCTACGCACGCATGGACACACAAACACACACGCAGTCAACGAATGTAGTATTGATATTTAAATCAATATTTTAGTTTTTTCCTACATCATCGTCGAAGTAATTTTTCAATTTGATGTGTTTCTCCTTTTTCCGATATCCTTCCTTTAGCGCCAGGATATGCTACACTTACATACATACAATGTGGCATTTCATTTTGGTTCTTTGCTTTAACTTGCCATTTTGGCCTTAAAGATCTTTGGCCATTGTCTTTATTAATTGATTCTTATGTGTTCGGTTTTGGCTTTGAGTTTATCTTCCATGTGAGTGTGTGTGTATGTGTGTGTTTGTATGAATGTTTGTGACATTTATATCAATTTACCACTTCCTGTTATTATTACTCGCTCGCCACAGGATACGCATTCATTGCAATGACTTCCGTTACATATGGGAAATGGTAATGACGCTGACCGTTGTTTAAATTTGTTGATACTTTTAGCGGTCGCATTTATTACTTTATACTTAAAGATAATTAAGTTTGATAAGTTTTGCGAAAGCGTATGAAATCTGGTATGTTCTCCCAGATGGCATTGTGATTCCCAGGCCTAGAGCGATAAAAAATTAAGAAGTAGTCATATATAGCATCATATGTAAAAAGGCGTCTCTCTCTCTCGCTCTCTCTCTCTCTCTCTCTGAATCCGAAAGAGTAATCTATCAACAATTTATTTTGTAGCAAACTAACTAAAGCCCAGTTTACACATCATATTAGAGCCATATGTAAAATAAATTTTCATGTTTTATATTTAGCATTTTTAGGATACTTTTAGGCGCTTACAACAATTTTCAATTTAATACAAGGTGGCGCAAACTTCCGATGTTTTTTGGGTGTAATTAAAAAAATGAAAAACTAACTTTTTTGTGGATTATTTTTATTTGGTCTTTAAGTTGTTATACCCTCCACCATAGTATGGAGGGTATATGAAGTTTGTCATTCCGTTTGTAACACCTCGAAATATACATTTTAGACCCCACAAAGTATATATATTCTTGATCAGCATAAAATTCTATGTCGATTCGCGATATCCGCCCGCCTGTGGAAATCACTCTATCATCGGAACGAAATAAATTAGGTTGCCAAAATTTTACTCAAATGTATATTATATCTGCAGGATTTTTGGTATTGAAAATAAGTCATGTAGGTCCACGATTTGGTACAGCCCCCCATATAATATTACCTCCCTATTTTCGGTATTTTGCTGATTTTAGCGACATTATTCACCGGATTGTATCAAATTTTGTATTTAAAGTTCGTTATGGATACTACAGCCTAAGACAGAAGATGTTTACGTCTTCGCATTGCCCCCATATAACGGCACCTCCCTTTATTCGGTATTTTGATGACTTTAGCTACATTATTGACCGATTTTTTTAAGTTTCACATTTGAATATTATAATGGCTTATGACAAATGTTGCCTATGCAGTTCCACGTCGTCGTATAGACTCTAATATAACGGTTATATTCAATACAGGGTGAGATAAAAAAAACTGCAACAAAGTCAAACGCCATAATATGTACATTTTTTTAATTTTATTGAATGAAAGCAAAAAATGTCGGAAATATCATCAAATTTTAGGATAAGTTTAGATTTGTTTGAATTGATCACATTTGGCACGAATTATGGCCTTCAAACGGCCCACGAAAACTTCACACGCTGCCCGAATGTTGCTCTGCGGTATTTTGGCCCATTCCCGACGAAACGCTTGCCTGAGGTGATCGACAATTTGGTATTTTTTAGTGCCAACCTTGCTTTCCAAAATACTCCAGAGACAATAGTCCAACGGATTGGTATCCGGAGATTTTGGTGGCCATTGTGCGCTGGAAATGAAGCGAGGCACCTCATTTTGTAACAATTCTTGGGTGGCGCGTGCTGAGTGC